CTGGAGCTCCAGGATTTGGGATTTTGGGATTTGGGGAGCTGTGAGCTGACCCTCAGTGCAGAGCCCCAGCCCTGGCTCCTCATCAGCCTCTAATGGAAAACACTCAGAGCTGGAGAAACCCAGACAGGAATCAGAGCCAGGAAAGGGCAATTCCAAAGGCTGATCCCTCCTAGCTTTCCAAACCAGCAGAAAAGAAAAAAAACCACAAAAAACCACTTGGAGGGGCTGTAAAAATGTTTCCAGGCCTGGGAGATGTTTACCACAAATGGTTCTGGGTCATTCCTTAGGGAAGAACATCCGTGGATAATGTCTGGAAAGTTCTTTATCCCAAAGAATTCCCCTCCACAGGAAGGAGCAGCATCTTTTAAACGGAGCTGCTGCAGAGATTATTGAATAAATACATAATTACAGCKGGGATTTAAGAAAACAAACAGAGCCATCCCATAACTGCACCCCAGACTGTTCAATGTGCTGCTGGAGTCTCGTTAAACGTTTAATTTTGGAGACAATTGCAGGCAATTGAAGCTGGCAGTGGGGAAAAGTTCCTGTCACTGCAGAGAGGAGGGATGGGAGTTGGGAAGGGGAATTGATCCATAGGAGCAAAGAGCTTTTTTTGGGAATGGGGATGGACACGGCTCTGGGAGAGCCCCAAAAAGGGGGATGGATGGGGCAGGGGATGTGGAGAATTGTTGGGATGGGACTGAATATGGGAGAGAACCCCAAAAAGGGGGAATGGATGGGAGAGGGGATGTGGAGCATCTTGGGATGGGACTGAACACAGGAGAGAACGCCAAAAAGGGGAATGGATGGGACTGAATATGGGAGAGAGCCCAAAAAAAAGGGGAATCGATGGGACAGGGGATGTGGAGAATTGTTGGGGTGAGACTGAATTTGGGGGAGAGCCCCAAAAAAGGGGGATGGATGGGACAGGGGATGTGGAACATCTTGGGATGGAACTGAACATGGGAGAGCTCAAAAAAGGGGGAATGGGTGGGAGAGAAGATGTGGAGTATCTTGGGATGAGACTGAACACAGCAGAGAGCCCCAAAAAAGGGGAAATGGATGGAAGAGGGGATGTGGAGCGTCATGGGGTGGGACTGAATATGCTACAGAGCCCTAAAAAGGGGGAATGGGTGGGACAGGGGATACGAAGTAACTTGGGATGGGACTGAGCACAGGAGAGAGCCCCTAAAAGGGGAAATGGATGGGACAGGGGTTGTGGAGCATCTTGGGATTGGGCTGAATATGGGAGAGCCCCAAAAAGGGGAAATGGGTGGTAGAGGGGATGTGGAGCATCTTGGGATGGGACTGAAACAGCTCTGGGAGAGCCCCAAAAAGGGGAATGAATGGGACAGGGGATGTGGAGGATCTTGGGATGGGGCCCTGGTGCCAGGAGGGCGTGAATGGGGTTGGACCTTGATGATCCTTAAGGTCTGTTCCAGCCCAAACCCCTCTGGGGTCCCTGTCCCACCTCTGGGATCGCTGTCCCCTCTGTAGGGTCCCTGTCCCCTCTCTGGGGTCTCTGTGGGATCCCTGTTCCCCTCCCTCTGTGGGATCACTGTCCCCTCGCTCTGTGGGATCCCTTTCCCCTCTGTGGGGTCACTGTCCCACCCCTGGCACAGGGCACATGATCCCATAGGGACCCCCTTTCCCACCCAGGATCCCTGGCCRTGTCCCACCCAGGCTGGATGTTGGGGTTTGGAGCATTTCTGTTTTCTGGGATAGCAGGAGGTTTCCAGCTCATCCCACCATGGCAGGAGGAGGAATTGGGGGATCYTTGAGTTCCCTTCCATCCCAAACCACACTGGGATCCCAGGAAAGCTCTGGCTGCCCCTGGGGATCCCCTGAATCCATGTGGAGAGCTGAGAGAATTCCCTGTTAAATTCAGAGCTGGAGCTGCTCTGACCCTCAGAATTCACCGAGCTGGTTTTTCCATAAAWTAGGAAATGCCAATTCCAGAGCTGCTGGAAAAAGGATCCGGCTGGGAAAAAGCAAAGCCAGGAGTGCTCTGTGTCCTGCAGAGCTCCCACAAGGCTGCTGCAGCTTTGGGATGAATTTTTCCTCCCTTTTTTTTTTTCTCCTGGCCACGGTGGGTTATTTTTTTTTTTTCTCAACAAGATAAAAACAGGAAGAACTCGTGGAGTTGGGAGAGTTCTGGTGAGCAGGCAGCCGTGTCCAGTTCACTCTGGAATAATTTTGGGATAACGGAGCCGGAATTGCATCCTGACCTCACAAAGGGAGGTTTCAGCTGAAGGGGAAATTTCGGGAGGAGCCTTTCCTGGGATGAGATCTTTCCTCCAGGGAAAGGGGCAGAGCAGCCTAAAGCTGTTCCAGGAATCAAACGGGATCAGATTTTTTTGGGAAAGGCTGTGCTGAGGTTTGGACAGGGCACGTTTCTCGTGGAACAGCTTTGGTGGGGAATTTTCCAGCTGGGAAAAACAGGGAGGTGACAGGAGACAGAGATGGTGTTTGTCACCAAAATCTGGGGTTTGGGGGATCCCTGCATGGGGGATGGATGTGAGGAATTCCCACAGCCACAGGGCAGGGATGGGATTTTGGGGAGGAATCCTTCCCTGGCACCGGTGCCCACATCAGCCCCTGATCCCTGGCAGTGCCCCAAGCCAGGCTGGACATTGAGGTAGGAACAGCTTGGGATGGGGGAAGGATTTTCCCAAGTGATCCAGAAGTGATTCCAAGTTTCTCTCAGATTTTGTGGTGATGGTTTCAGTCCAACATGGACATSGATCCACTCTCCTGATCCTTCTCCTTCCTCTCCTGGTGAGCAGCACCCCTGGAATTTCAGCTGGCTGTGTAATTAAAATTTAAAATTACCYCTGAATGCTCAAGGGGTGTTTTCATGCTGTCAGTATAAATATCAAGATCCGATTAAATCGATTTAATTTGCATGCATAGATTATCCACCGAGGAATGCACTGTGCTATAAATATCTGTGGTTTGATGTGTGTGCTGCTGGTGGTTTCTGTCTGAAGTCAGCACAGAAAAGTGGCTGATKTTCATCCCTGCTGTCCCTTCCAGGAGAGATTCCAGGTGAAGAACCCTCCCCACACCTACATCCAGAAGCTGAAGGGATATCTGGACCCAGCGGTCACCAGGAAGGTGAGAGCGTCCTGTTCCTGCTGCCCATCCCTCATTGCTCTGCCAGGGTGCTCGGGGCTCCATCCCTGGGGATCAGCTCCATCTATGATCAGCTCCATTTATAGGGATCAGCTCCATCCCTGGGGACCAGCTCCATTCGTAGGGATCAGCTTCCATCCCTGGGGGTCAGCTCCATTTGTTGGGATCAGCTCCATTTGTTGGGATCAGCTCCATTTGTTGGGATCAGCTCCATCCATGGGGATCAGCTCCATCCATGGGGATCAGCTCCATCCATGATCAGCTCTGTTTGTTGGGATCAGCTCCATTTTTAGGGATCATTTCCCATCCCTGGGGATCATTTCCCATCCCTGGGGTTCAGCTCCATCCCTGGGGTTCAACTCCATTTATAGGGATCAACTCCATCTCTGATCAGCTCTGTTTGCTGGGATCAGCTCTATCCATGGGGATCATTTCCCATCCCTGGAGATCGGCTCCATTTTTAGGGATCAGCTCCATTTTTAGGGATCGGCTCTGTTTGTTGGGATCAGCTCCATTCCTGGGGATCATTTCCCATTCCTGGGGATCGACTCCATTTGTAGGGATCAGCTCCATCCCTGGGGATCAGCTCTGTTTGTTGGGATCAGGTCCATCCATGGAGATAATTTCCCATCCCTGGAGATCAGCTCTATTTGTTGGGATCAGCTCTATTTGTTGGGATCAGCTCCATTTTTAGGGATCATTTCCATTTGTTGGGATCATTTCCCATCCCTGGGGATCAGCTCCATCTGTAGAGACCATTTCCCATCCCTGGGGACCATTTCCCATCCCTGGAGACCATTTCCCATCCCTGGAGATCGGCTCCATTTTTAGGGATCAGCTCCATTTTTAGGGATCGGCTCCGTTTGTTGGGATCAGCTCTTTTTGTGGGGATCAGCTGCATCCCTGGGGATCATTTCCCATTCCTGGGGATCGGCTCCATTTGTAGGGATCAGCTCCATCCCTGGGGATCATTTCCCATCCCTGAGGATCCTTTTCCCATCCATAGGGATCAGTCCCCATCCATAGGGATTGGAGATGCCCCTTTTGGCTCTCTGGCTCCTTTTTTGCTAAAGAACTGCAGCTCTGAATCTTTGAGAGAAGGATTTGGTGCTGAAGATTTGATAAAGATCTGATGCTGAAGATTTGATCGAGTTTTTGATGCTGAATGTTTGATGAAGAGGAAGTTTGATGCTGAATGTTTGATGAAGAGGAAGTTTGGTGCTGAATGTTTGATAAAGAGGAAGTCTGGTGCTAAAAATTTGATAAAGAGGAAGTTTGGTGCTAAAAATTTGATAAGGAGGAAGATTTGATGCAGAGAGAGTTGATGGCAAAGATTTGATAAAGTTTGGTGCTGAAGATTTGATAAAGAGCAAGTTTGGTGCTAAAGATTCGATTCTAAAGATTTGATAAAGAGAAAGTTTGATACTAAAGATTTGATAAAGATGAAGATTTGACACTGAAGATTTGATGCAGAGAACAATTTGATGCTAAAGATTTGATAAAGAGAAGGTTTGGTGCTGAAGATTTGATAAAGATTTGATGATAAAGATTTGATAAAATTTGATGCTGAAGATTTGATAGAATTTGATGCTGAATGTTAAAGAGAAAATTTGGTGCTAAAAATTTGATAAAGAGGAAGTTTGATGCTAAAGATTTGGTAAAGGAAAATTGGATGCTGAAGATTTGATAAAATTTGATACTAAAGATTTGATGAAGATTTGATGCAGGGAAAGAGTTGATGGCAAAGGTTTGATAAAGTTCGGTGCTGAAGATTTGATAAAGATTTGGTTCTAAAAATTTGAATCTAAAGATTTGATAAAGAGGAAGTTTAATGCTAAAGATTTGGTAAAAGAAAAGTGGATGCTGAGGATTTGATAAAGAGCAAGTTTGATACTAAAGATTTGATAAAGATGAAGATTTGATGCTGAAGATTTGATGCAGAGAACAATTTGATGCTAAAAATTTGATAAAGAGAAGATTTGGTGCTGAAGAGTTGGTAAAGATTTGATAAAGATTTGATGCTGAAGATTTGATAGAGTTTGATGCTGAATGTTTGATAAAGTTTGATGCTAAAAATTTGATAAAGAGGAAGCTTGATGCTAAAGATTTGGTAAAGAGGAAAATTGGATGCTGAAGATTTGATAAAATTTGATACTAAAGATTTGATGAAGATTTGATGCAGGGAAAGAGTTGATGGCAAAGATTTGATAAAGTTTGGTGCTAAAGATTTGACAAAGAGCAAGTTTGGTGCTAAAGATTTGATAAAGATTTGATGCTAAGGATTTGATAAAGAGGAAGTTTGATGTTAAAGATTTGGTAAAGGAAAATTTGGTGCTGAAGATTTGATAAAATTTGATACTAAAGATTTGATAAAGATGAAGATTTGATGCAGAGAAAGAGTTGATGGCAAAGATTTGATAAAGTTTGGTGCTAAAGATTTGACAGAGCAAGTTTGATGCTAAAGATTTGATGCTAAAAATTTGATAAAGTGGAAATTTGATGCTAAAGATTTGGTAAACGAAAATTTGGTGCTGAAGATTTGATAAAATTTGATACTAAAGATTTGATAAAGATGAAGATTTGATGCTGAAGATTTGATGCAGAGAACAATTTGATGCTAAAATTTGATAAAGAGAAGGTTTGGTGCTGAAGATTTGATAAAGATTTGACTATAAAGATTTGAAAAAGATTTGATGCTGAAGATTTGATAGAGTTTGATGCTGAATGTTTGATAAAGTTTGGTGCTAAAGATTTGGTAAAGAGGAAAATTTGATGCTGAAGATTTGATAAAGAGAAAGATTTAATGCTGAAGATTTGATGAAGAGGAAGATTTGATACTGGAAATTTGATAAAGATTTGATAAAGAAATTTCGGTGCTAAAGATTTGATAAGGAAGAAGATTTGATGATGAAGATTTGATAAAGAGGAAGTTTGATGCTGGAAATTTGATAAAGTTTGATGATAAAGATTTGATGCTAAAGATTTGATAATGAGAAAGATTTGATGCTGAAAATTTGATTAAGTTTGGTGCTGAAAATTTGATAAAGTTTGATGCTGGAAATCTGATAAATTTTGATGCTAAAGATTTGATGAAGATGAAGATTTAATGCTGAAGATTTGATAAAAAGGAAAATTTGATGCTGAAAATTTGATAAAGAGGAAGATTTGATGCTGAAGATTTGATAAAGAGAAAGTTTGATTTGATACTGAAGATTTGCTAAAGTTTGGTGCTGAAGGTTTGCTCAAGTTTGATGCTAAACCAAAGCTTGTGTAATTAAAATTTAAATTAAATATTGCTTGTTTTATAAAGCAATATTTATTTCTCTCCAGGCTKTTCATTTCCTCAATCCAGGAAGCCCCAGGACGTTTTGGGAACAAAAATGATTCCTCTCCCAGGTTTTTGTTGCCTTCTGGGCTGTCCTTGCTGCATTCCTGGAGCTCTCAGTTCCCTCTGTGCTGGCTGAGATGTTGATATTTTTTTAACAGAGTTAATTAATTGTTATTTTTGCTGCTCATTCCACCACAGAAATTCAGGAGACGAGTCCAGGAGTCGACTCAGGTGCTCCGAGAACTGGAAATTTCCTTGAGGACAAACCACATTGGGTAAGGATTTCTGGTGCCTCTGGTTTAATGTATTTTTTTTTTATTTTTCATTTTTCATTTTTTAATTGATTTTATTAATTAATTAATTTTTTATTTATTTATTTTTAAAATTCCAGTGGTGGCTGGCTTTGAGAACACCTCTTTGAGCATCAACAATTGATAGATAATTAAAACCTGGCTTAATTAAGGGGAGCTGGGCATTTCAGGAGCATCAGTTAGCTTTATATAATAATAAATGGAAATMTTTTAGCAGGGAAATGAAAAATAAATAATAAAAAATAAAAAATCAGGATAACTCAAAGGTGAGGAATTGCCACTTCCCTCCCTGGATTCCCTCATTCCAGTGGCTCCCAGGGGGTTCAGGGAAAAGCTGGGGCTGTGCTGCAGTTCCWTTTCCCCTAAATGGGGGATGAATTTCCAAATTTTTTCTTGGCATTTTCAAARTTTTGGACCATAATAGACTTTCCTGAATTATTTGGCCCGAATTCACCGTCACAGGTGAATTCACTGTGAAAAAAGGAGGGGAAATTCCTGTTCAGTGCACATCCAGGATTTCCATCAGGAATATATTCCTGCTTTCCCATCCTGCTGGAGTTCAGGCTGAGATTAAAATTGCATATTTTGTACCATCAAGAAAACCTAAATAACTGTATCTGTTACAAGAAAAGGAAAAATAAATCAAATTTGCTCCTGAAATAAAACAACTAAGTGTATATTATAAAGAATTTTATTTACTTGTAAGCTCAGTCCTTGAGGATGGCTAAAAAGTAGATCCTAGCAGGATCAAACATTGGATATTTACACTCAGAGGTGTAAAAATAATATTGCCAATTAATTGAAATAATTAGTRTAGACTTTCAGTATTGTTCAAAAAATCAATGAAGTCTAGAAGCTAAATTTTAAATTTAGTTGTTCACATTTCAAATAAAGTGTTTTTCGCATCATGTATATTTAAGGCAAAGCATGTTATCTTTTGAAAATACCTACTATATTGTTTCTGCATAAAAATATGAAATTAAAAAAAAAAAAACCACTGAGTCCCTGTGGTCTGAACTGACCTTCACTTTGCTGCAAAAACCCCTCATTTCAGGAAAGGCATGAAGGACGCTTCAAACTCCTCTGAATCACTTGGAAAAAGCCTTTTTTTAAATTTTTTTTTTCTGAGTGGTGCAGCAGCTCTGTGTGGGATTTTATTTTTTTTTGGAGAATTGCAGGGAATTCCAAAGCTCTGATGTTTTGATGTTTCTCTCCCAGCTGGGTCAGGGAGTTCCTGAACGAGGAGAACAAAGGTCTGGACGTGCTGGTGGAATACCTGTCCTTTGCCCAGTATGCAGTCACGTAAGTCAGGCATTTCTGGGATTTTCTGCCCTAAATCCATGGATTTTGGGGAATATTCCTTCRCTGGGAAAGGGTTCAGTGCGACTGTGGGGTCGCAAT